TTGACATTTAATTTTTACTTCTAATAAAACAAAATTATTGGCAATGATTGATTGATTTAATTCCTGTTTTATTATCTATAAAAATATTATATGAATATATATAGTAGTTGGACGTTTTGGCCACCCAAACTTTGAAATTGTAAATCTAATCAATAGATTGAGTTTTTATTTTTGGTGGAAGTGCTCGAGAACACCTTGTTTCCTTATAGAAACTACTGTATGTGAACTAAAAGTAGATATTCTGCTAAACTAATTACATTTACCAAAAAAAATCCCTATAATAAATAAATCCTATTTTTATGGCAGATAAATTAAGAATGCCATGCCAAAAAAGTGTTTTTGTCCGTTCACTAAATGCAAATTTCATTTTTATTTTTTTTTACATTATATTAAAGCTAAAGGGAAATATGTTTTAGAAGATGTAATCAGATTATAGGATTCATTTAATAAGAGCATCTTCTCATCCAAATCATATCGTTTTATTTTCTATTTTTCTAAAATGCACTGCTCCCATATCTTCAATGTAGTCCGCTACTAATGTTAGTAATTTGTAGCTAGCTAATTTCTGAAAGAGCAGCTTGATTCTAGTTGAACTCATTTAAATTCGAAGTATGTTGGTAACCGTTTCAGATTCGCAAATCTGTGTCAGACATACATGCTCGTGTGTGTGGATAAAGCAAGTGTCTGCTGTTTGTGCTCTTTCTCAATTGTAAACCAACAAGTGAAGTAAGCAAATATTTCCCTGTCTCCCGTTCCTGCATTTTAACCGGGCAACAGATGCAGCTGTGCAATTAGAATTCAGCGAATTGTCCAAACAAACACTTCTTGACGTGGCGTCTCTCCACCGCCGAGAAATATCGTCCATAAATCACATCGCTGGAAACAAACTGCCCCTTATAATAGGCAGTAACAAGCCATTCTCTGGCCCAGAGATGCTCACAAAGGGGCCGTTCGGCTCCGTCGTTCACATTCGGGAGATTTAGGGCTCCATGTATTGTGAGGTGTTGTTTCTGGTGAGCGGTAATCACGTCAGGGGTTTTGCTGAGCTGCTGTTGGGGGTCTTGAGAACCAGCTGGTGTCTGGTTGAGTTAGTGATGGTGTGAAGCTGATCCAGCAGCTCGTTAACACGTTTGTGACTCGCCAGCCAGATCTGATTTATTACCCGTGATCCTGGTCCGTGGTTGTATGTGATAGGATGTGATGTGACCGGAGGACAGATTGTTTGTTCATTGACGATACTGGGATTATTCGATTGCAGTGCATGATCCCTATAGCTCTCAAAGGAATAGTTTATGCAAAAATGTGTGTGATGTTGTTCCAAATGGCATCAAACATCATCCTAATGAGATTGGAAGTCTTAATTGCGATGTGATGTGCTTTATTAAGGGATTTTGGTCCAATTTCACTTAATAATTTCATATTTTTACAATTTCACATATACATACAATTACATATATATATATATATATATATATTTGTTAATTAGGATTTGTTAATTAGCATTGTTGGGTCTGGTGTCTCATCTTCCTCTTGATATATATATATACTATATATATAAAACTAAAACTGAGATAATGTATAAAAAAACTATATAGGCATGTATTAAAAAAACTAAAACTGTAATACAAAATGAAAATATATAAATATATAGGCATATATAAAAAAAAACTAGAACTGCTAAAAATGACAAAAACACAACAAAATGACTAAAATGTAAATGGAAACTCTAAAAATAAAAACTGATTAAAATATTAATAAAAAGCTATAATTGTGTCTCAATGATACTAAAATCACTATATGTATGTATGTATGTATGTATGTATGTATGTGTGTGTGTGTGTGTGTGTGTGTGTGTGTGTTGAATATGACATGTTTGGATTATTCGATTGCAGTGCATGATCCCTATAGCTCTCAAAGGAATAGTTTATGCAAAAATGTGTGTGATGTTGTTCCAAATGGCATCAAACATCATCCTAATGAGATTGGAAGTCTTAATTGCGATGTGATGTGCTTTATTAAGGGATTTTGGTCCAATTTCACTTAATAATTTCATATTTTTACAATTTCACATATACATACAATTACATATATATATATATATATATATATTTGTTAATTAGGATTTGTTAATTAGCATTGTTGGGTCTGGTGTCTCATCTTCCTCTTGATATATATATATACTATATATATAAAACTAAAACTGAGATAATGTATAAAAAAACTATATAGGCATGTATTAAAAAAACTAAAACTGTAATACAAAATGAAAATATATAAATATATAGGCATATATAAAAAAACTAGAACTGCTAAAAATGACAAAAACACAACAAAATGACTAAAATGTAAATGGAAACTCTAAAAATAAAAACTGATTAAAATATTAATAAAAAGCTATAATTGTGTCTCAATGATACTAAAATCACTATATGTATGTGTGTGTGTGTGTGTGTGTGTGTTGACAATGAAATGTTTGTAATTAAGAAATTTGGACTTCCAAATCCAAAGTTTTACGATATTGTGATATTCATGTGAATATGTCCATTCCATCAGGACTCAACTTCAGCATCTGATTGAGGACTGTAGATTGAGTATCTGAATGTCCCTGCCGTCTTAAATCAAATTTGTGTTGAACAGTTTCTTCCCCATCGTTTAGTTAGTCGCTCTCCCGCTGCGGCCCTGAGCTCTTTAGGCGGCAGTAATTCGGCCCGGGCCGCTTCCTCCAATCACGGGCCCACGGAGCCTGAAGCCTTATGGACTATCAGTGGCGTTTTTGATGCCTGACCTTGTTTCTCTCCAGATTAGCCTCCTCTATAATGGGCAGCTGCTGCCGTGGGGCTCCAGGTAATCCTGAAGGTAAATCACTTCCCAGACCAAATCACGCCGGTGGTCTGCGTCTGGAATTACTTGCGCTCTCCAGACCGGAGGTCAGCTGTGATTTGGACCAGACACGATCCAACCCGGTCCCGGTGGAGTCTGGCCTGCGAACGGCGGGTAATTGTGACAGTGGGAGAGATAATTCGGCGTGAGGCATTCACACACAAACTCGTTATTGTTCTGATGAGAATCCGTCAGCGTGTTTTGTATGGATGGCACCGTTCGCCTCACAATGCCGTTTTTCAGGCTTAGTTTAACATTTGGTGTGCTCATAAGGGATGTTTTGCAAATAAGCTGTTTCTTTGCCATTGTTTAAAGGACGCTTCATTGTTTTGTGCCCTCAAATGCAGCTAATTGTGAGAAAATCAGTGGTTTTGCCATTCCTAACGGTTATTTACTGAACGTCGAGAACGCTCTCCAAAAGCATTTGATTTCTTGCTGATAGTTTGTTGAAGGCAAACAGCAGAATAGTGAGCGAAAGCAATTTTGTAGCAAATTCATTTCTACTGAGCGGCAGAATATTTATGCACTGCCTTTGTGCTTTTTTCCTCCAGTGCAGCCATAGATCACGTAGACACGGACTGTTAGTGAGCAATAGTTTGGACAAAAATGTGAATTCTGTCATTATTTACATCCTCAAACTCATAGGTTTTTCTGTTGAAAACAAAAGGACACATTTTAAAGAATATTTGCACGGTTCTTTTTGGATGCAAGCTCCAAAAATGGACAAAATAACCCCGCTTAAACCCCTTGAAAAGCAAAATGACTTAAGATATTTAGTCTTGTTTTCAGGAAAATGTATTAAGATTAAGCAAGTTTATGCTTAAAACAAGAAGAAAAAAATCTGCCAATTGAGTAGGAGAAATAAACTTGATTAAAAAAGAAAACGAGTATTTTTCTGACACCATTGGCAGATTTGTTTTTCTTGTTTTAAGCATAAATTCACTTTTAAAAAAGTGATTTTGCTTCTGCCTCTAAATGTGTCTTGATTTAAGAATGTTTAGATATTTGTACTAGAAAACAAGATTCAAAAATACTGAGTTTTGCAGTGTAGTTTGTTAATATTAAGAATTAGTTTTTATTTTTATATATATATATATATATATATATATATATAAACAAAATAAAGTAAAATAAACTTTTTTAATATTTATTTTCAGTTCAAATGTATTTATTTAATTTATTTTTATTTATTTATTTTAGTTTTAGTTAACTATAATAACTCTGGCCCCTCCTTCTAAATAAAAGAGCCAATCACCAATTGGTAAAGCCGTTGCATCACTGCAGTTGCCGTTAGAAGCTCTGGTTGCCATAGAAACAGTCAGCATCCTGAGACGCTCGCTTGAGACCAGCCTGAAGTAAATACTATTTTTAATGCAGCGTGAGCATAAGAAACATCATGCAGATTTTCAAGCAGTTTTTCAGTATTTGCCCATTCAGGGGGATAGAAGTTAGTCTTGCGTGACCAGAACTGCTGCAAATATGGTTGCCGAGTGAACTGACTTTATTTGAAAGGGTCTTTGATGAGGATGAGTAAATAATGATGAATTTATTATTCCCAAGTGTTGTCTATTCAGAAAACCACTCCAGTGCCTAAAATCCTTTGTAATTGGACTGAACTGGATTCTTCAGGCAGTTGTGAATCGCTGAGTTTAGTAGCTGCTCATTTAGCCTCTAACCGCTGTATTTTTGTCTACTTTTCATGTCCTCTTGTGCTCCTTAATCTGCGTCTGTGGCTTTTCCCACCGCAGCTGCTCACAATCACGAGCGACTGAGACCCTCCATCAGCCGACTTCCTCCTCATCCATCGACCTCCTGCTTTTTATGTGTTCGTTTAATAATTGCCTCAAATCGCTTCTCCATCAAGAGTCTGAGGTCCATTACGCACCGAGACCAGTTCTTTGGTTATTTTAGCGGCGCTGAGCATTTTTAGAGCAGGAAGTTTAGTGGGTTTCACACAGTTGCTGGCTGTTGATGAAATACCAGCTTCAGGAAACCTTCCTGTGTGCTGCTGTGTTTGAATATATCTCTTGTGGATGTCTCTGGAAAGCTGAGTCACTGTAACCTGATGATGGCTAATGAACTATAAAGGAAGTCTGATGGTAAACACCTTCCAAAGTTTCACTATACTTTATACAGCACAATACTTAAGCATTGGGAACGGAATCGTTCAGGTGCTTCAAAGAGATTAAGTGCCCCATGAAATTGTTAGATGAGCGTAGTTTTCATGTTTAAACAACAAAAGATATCAACGTGCTTGTCTGTTTTTCAGAAATGGTGCATTTAACAGTATTTAACTGTAAAATTATACAAAATGTCCCATTAGGTTTTCAGTGTATAGAGAAAGTGAACTTACTGTTAACCACAACAGATTTTACCGTAGAATTTTAGTATCATTGATATAAGTCAAACTCCCGGTCAGCAGAACTGAACAGCATTAAACCTGCAGGATTTATAAGCACTCGCTCTCTCACCGGCCTTCAGCCTGAATCAACCGAGAGCGCTGCTTTTCTTAAAACGTTTGTGCTGTATCTGTGTTAAATACAGAGAATGCATGCACTGACACGACACCGGCAGCATCTCATTACTACTAAAATAACTCAAACTAAAACTGAAATAAAACTTAATGAAAGCTATATAGACATACTTAAAAACGACTAAAACTTGAACTAAAATGAAAAGGAAAATGGAAAATACATGCATTGATAATACAGGAAACACTAAGAAATGCACAAGATATTGTTTCCAAAAAGTGTTTCCTTGTGTGTTTTAAACTTGTTTCATAATGTGAACCTGGTTATGCATTGATTTCAGACTTATCGTTTAATTTGTTCTTTTTGCTTTGTGTCAAAAAAGAAAAAAGAAAATAACAATTACCTTTAATTTGTATTTTGATTATGGAAAATAGGCATTGCTACATGGTTTTGTAATATATAAACTAACTTTTAAAATAAAATAACTATCGTTATACAGTGTATATACTGTCTTCATCTGTAATATGAAGCTACTCGTGCTATCAAAGAGAATATAATAGTAGTTTGATTTAATCAGTCAGACAGGGTTATTATATAGTTAACTGAAATTGAAACAAAAACCATAAAAAAATTATTATTTATTAAAATCAATAAAATTGTGTGTGCAACTTATTTTAATTCCGCTAGTAGCCAAGGCAACATTTATTTGTACATTTGTATTTAGTTAACTTAATTTGCTAAATTAATGAAAACTAAAACTTAATAAAAATGATATAGACATTTTTTAAAAGTTACAAATCCCCAAAAAAGATTAAAACTTCAACATTAGAATAAAACGATATAAAATTAAAAACTTTTTTTTTGTTTTTTTGTTTCACTATACTTTATACAGCACAATACTTAAGCATTGGGAACGGAATCGTTCAGGTGCTTCAAAGAGATTAAGTGCCCCATGAAATTGTTAGATGAGCGTAGTTTTCATGTTTAAACAACAAAAGATATCAACGTGCTTGTCTGTTTTTCAGAAATGGTGCATTTAACAGTATTTAACTGTAAAATTATACAAAATGTCCCATTAGGTTTTCAGTGTATAGAGAAAGTGAACTTACTGTTAACCACAACAGATTTTACCGTAGAATTTTAGTATCATTGATATAAGTCAAACTCCCGGTCAGCAGAACTGAACAGCATTAAACCTACAGGATTTATAAGCACTCGCTCTCTCACCGGCCTTCAGCCTGAATCAACAGAGAGCGCTGCTTTTTATTAAAACGTTTGTGCTGTATCTGTGTTAAATACAGAGAATGCATGCACTGACACGACACCGGCAGCATCTCATTACTACTAAAATAACTCAAACTAAAACTGAAATAAAACTTAATGAAAGCTATATAGACATACTTAAAAACGACTAAAACTTGAACTAAAATGAAAAGGAAAATGGAAAATACATGCATTGATAATACAGGAAACACTAAGAAATGCACAAGATATTGTTTCCAAAAAGTGTTTCCTTGTGTGTTTTAAACTTGTTTCATAATGTGAACCTGGTTATGCATTGATTTCAGACTTATCGTTTAATTTGTTCTTTTTGCTTTGTGTCAAAAAAGAAAAAAGAAAATAACAATTACCTTTAATTTGTATTTTGATTATGGAAAATAGGCATTGCTACATGGTTTTGTAATATATAAACTAACTTTTAAAATAAAATAACTATCGTTATACAGTGTATATACTGTCTTCATCTGTAATATGAAGCTACTCGTGCTATCAAAGAGAATATAATAGTAGTTTGATTTAATCAGTCAGACAGGGTTATTATATAGTTAACTGAAATTGAAACAAAAACCATAAAAAAATTATTATTTATTAAAATCAATAAAATTGTGTGTGCAACTTATTTTAATTCCGCTAGTAGCCAAGGCAACATTTATTTGTACATTTGTATTTAGTTAACTTAATTTGCTAAATTAATGAAAACTAAAACTTAATAAAAATGATATAGACATTTTTTAAAAGTTACAAATCCCCAAAAAAGATTAAAACTTCAACATTAGAATAAAACGATATAAAATTAAAAACTTTTTTTTTGTTTTTTTTTACTTTTTTAATAAATCTGCAAAAATGTCAACAATTCTGTGTTTTTCTGTCAATATGGGGTGCTGTGTGTACATTAATGAGGAAAAAAAATTAACTTAAATGATTTTAGCAAATGGCTGCAATATAACAAAGAGTGAAAAATTTAAGGGGGTCTGAATACTTTCCGTACCCACTGTATATATATATATAATAGAAAGAAAAAAAAACAAATTAAAAGCGTTAATACAACTATAATAGTTTTTATAAAATAATAACCTCAGTTATGCTAAAATAACACTGGTCTTTTAACTAACACGGGTCTTTAATTTTAACTAAAATTTAACATAAACTGGAAATATAAAAATAAAAGCTATTCCAAAATATTAATACAATCTATAATAGTATCTCAATTATACTAAAATAACACTGGTCAGTTGATGTAAACTTTGAAATGAAAATAAAAAATGGAAAATATAAAAATAAAAGCTAATTCAAAATATTAATAAAAATGATAATATTATACTAACACAGCACTGGTCAGCTGATGTGAAACCTGATCATCTTCTGTACAGTTTCAGTCTGTGTTTTTCTCTCTTCTGTCTCTTCTGTGTGTTGTGTAAATACTTATCTTCAGCTCTGTCGTGTCTGGACATTCAGTGATGTGAGTTTCTCAGCAAAGGCTGGTTAGTTGCTGCGTCAGATCAGTGTTTCCTGACGTTTATTGCAGGAATAATTGGTTCGGCTTCTATTAGTCAGCTTTCTGTAAAACTTTTCATTCATTCATTCATTTATGGCCTGTCGACTTGTTGTCATGTCCTACGTGGGTGAATGTCACAAAAACATGTCCAGGTCATATCTCACCACACAATCATTTGAAATTAAACTTTACATAAAGAAAAGGATGCTTGTTTTTAAGGCCATTAATATTTTTTGCATTGTGTCTCATTTTTAATGACAGTAAATCAGCCTTGGCTTTCTGAGGGATGTTTCGCATTCATTTTCTCCACAGGCATATTTAAAATATTCTTTAATAAAGACCTTTAAGCCCTGAACTAAACCAACCAGCTCTGAAGTGAATCATGACATTACAAACTTTTTTTCTTAATTTTTCTGATATTTCTTGCTATAAAACAAAGAGTTTGTGTTATACTTCATATCTCATGAATTAATATAATGCATAATATTATATATGCAGTATAAGGAGATATATATATATATATATATATATATATATATATATATATATATTACATATATACATATATACATGTATATATAATATAAAATTATGCATAAAAAATACATTATATTATATTTATTTAGTTATTATGAAATACTTATCAATTTATTATTATACGTACTAGTATTTATTTTATAATTGTTTTAATATAAATGAAAAATAAATAGAAAATAGAAAAATAAATCAATCATATTCAGATATATATAAATATAGTATTAGTAAATAAATAAAATAGTTGGAGAGAGTTTGTGTATGCATGCAATTTATTTAAATATTTACTTATTACAGTAATGAGTATTGGATAGAAATAGAGTGCTTACAGGTAATTGTCATGAAAATAATGTCACAATGCAAAAAAAAAATTCTTAATGGTCTTTAAAGGATGCTTCATCTTCTGTAAGCACAATAAAATGTCTTTAAAAGATTTTTTTTTTTCTTCGTTTGATTACGGGGTGAAACAAGAGCCAGACGTGTTCTTGACAGGTTACATGAGAAGTCTTAAGTTACATGCAAGTTTGTTGCAATTTGTCTGCTAAACCTCGCCGAGGTCTGGATGAAAGACCCACGCCGGATAAAAGCCCATTAATGGCTGCGTCTCGCTTTCACTTCATCTGGGAATCACATGCAGCACACCGGGGACTCATTATGTTTCCATTTGGTCAATATATATATATATATATATATATATATTTCTCTCTTTCTGTGCAAAAACAGGCCGGCATGCGGATGGTTTTGATGTGCCAGGCAGGGACTTTGCGAGAGGCTTATGCAATTTTAAGATAGATGTATCACAGTGAGGAGCAATTCATCAAAGTGTCAGACATGGGAATGTGTTCTCTCATTTGCTGGAAATACTCCGAATGTTTCTGTAATGGCTTTATTTGCTCATCATTTAAGCTGTCTGAGACATTTACATCACGTGTTTTCTGAGATCTTAATAAAGAGCTGCCGTCTCTGTTTGTGAGGCGTGATCTTAGTCGTTTTTGTATGTAATTTGTGATTGTTGCACACAGATCGCATACGGACAGATTGCAAATCATAATTCCGTAGATTTATAAGCTCTCCAAATGTTTGTGAATTCTTTTATTAGTACCATCTGGATTTCATGTCTGCACTTTATATGCAAATACAAGTGTGTGTGTGTGTGTGTGTGTGTGTGTGTGTGTATGTGCAGTATTATATATTTCATAGTGTCCGGGCTTAAACATCACCATGCTGCTTCCTCATCAGTATCTGATTCATTTGAACCACTGGCCTTGTTGTGCTGTTCATCTGCTTTGTGGAGTAACCAGATGTGATTGATGGGTTAATTTTCACTTGTAAGGTGGGATCCGGTTATTTAGTATGTTTGCATGACTTTCTAACATTTACAGATGAAAAATATACCTGTCACATAACAGTTATGCACTGAGGAAAACACAACGTCTCAAATGCATAGATATATTGGCTGTTTGTCATGGTGGAGCGATTTGATCCATGATCGACATTAAGGTCTGCTTAAGAATAAGCGTGCACAAATTAGTGAGATTGTGTGAATTTAATTTGTTGTTAATGGAACCGCTTTAGCCCCGATTGATTTGTTAGGTTATTTCAAGTCAGGTTTTGGACTTTAATCCCAGTTTTTCCTCGGGTCTCTGTAGTGTTGTGATGCGTCATATTCACGCAGCAGCAGCGGTGATGAGAGAGCACGCTTGAGAAACAGTTTGAGAGGAGAAATCAAACTACATATAAGATATTGGTCACAGATTATTGGTCACTTTCTAAATAATAAAAGTATAGCGCATCCACTAGTAATTATATATAAATGAATCGGTTTTTACCGATGCAAATATGTTAGAAATGATGCATCGCGATATAATTGACAACTTGTAGCCGATGCACACTTTTTAAACCTTTTATGCCGATGCACTGAGTGAATCTGGGAATCTTCCCATCCCTCATTTTTATATATATATATATATATATATATATATATATATATATATATAGTCTTCAAAAGTTGGGGTCAGTAATTTTTTATATATTTTTTAAAAGTAATTAATACTTTTATTCAGCAGGGATGCATTAAATTGGTCAAAAGTAACAGTAAAGTAATTTGGACTGTTAGCATGTTACAAATAAATGCTGTTCTTTTGAACTTTATATTCATCAAAGAATCTTGAAAGATAAAATGTATCACGGGTTTCACACACACACACACACACAAAAAAAATAAATAATAAAAATAAATAAATATATATATATATTTGGTAGCACAACTGTTTTGAACACTGATAATAATCAGAAATGTTTCTTGAGCAGCAAATCAGCATATTATACTGATTTCTGAAGATCATGTGACACTGAAGACTGGAGTAATGATGCTGAAAATACAGCTTTGATCACAGAAATAAATTACAGTTTACAATACATTCACATAGAAAACTGTTATATTAAATTGTAATAATATTTCAGAATTTTTACTGTATTTTTGATCAGATAAATGCAGCCTTGCTGAGCAGAAGAGACTTCTTTCCGAAAAATCTTTTTTAAAAAGTAGCAGTATAGTTCTGAGGCCATGTTCACTATATTGCTTAAATGTATATTTCCAGCATAATGATCCGTACTGGCAATCAAACTCAAGGTTGTGGCATTTCTGTCATCACGCTCTGCTGGTTATAGAGTTAATTCAGTTATCTAATCGTGAAAGTTAAGCGCTAATGTCTATGCTCACCAAAGCAGACCGTTTCTCTGGATTCTGGCCTGTTTGTCTTTGGGTCTTTGCCATCTGATTTACAGTTAGGATGGAGAGATGACAGGTCATGATGTGGAGGAGATGTGATGGCTCCGTTTGTGAATCTCTAAACAGCTGAGTCATTTGTATATGTATGTCATGAAGTGTGCTGGTTCTTTATAGACATTCATCACACTGACCTGACCTCATTCACTGTGAACATTCACAGATTTACCAGCTCTCTTTACTGCTTTTGCTCCACTACCCATGGTTTTTATGAATAATAAGGAGAAAAGGGAATAATGTCACTATATGCATATTATGTATGTATGTATATATGTACAGTATATGCATTAGGTGACATTACATCCTTTTTCTCCTTACATAAGCATCATTATTGGCTGTGTTGTCTACTGCGATTCATATATAATATACTGCATATAATGTTACTGTATGTTACTATATAGACTAGTGTTCAAATAGCGTTTGTCTTATGACAGATCTGTGTGTGTAAAGTCTCTGCTGGCTCTTTAGTCATATTTAACTGCTCGTATTACTGTTGTCGGCTGTCAGAGTCAGTAGTGTGGAGTGTTTATATATGTGCCCATTCAGTCTGGCAGCATAAAAGGAAAGGCACGTATGTTAAATTTTTGCTTTGACAGCAGCGCAGAATGTATTTACACTGCTAGACTGTCTGTGTTTGTGTTTATGAAATCTGTGATAAAACTCTTCCAGCTCAGCTCCTCTCCATCGGTAGATAAAGTGGACATGAAGTGCAAACAGGGAGAAAACCTGCCATGTGTTTTCCTTTTCTTTGGCCCTGAACTGCCTCAGGAGAGACAAAACAAGCACATCTCAAAACCGAAGCGTTGCAGTCGCTCTGAGCAAAAAGCCCACCATCGTTCATCAGTAACAGACGATCACAAAAGCTTCATGCAATACAAGAATTGGCCACATCCCGGCCCAGCTGCTCCTTCATCTCGAGCTCAAATAAGTATCGCGGTTGGAATTTCTTCCTGCTAATTCCCTGTCATGTCGAAAGCCCTTTTATTGCGTGTTTGGAGGAGATCCCACATCAATTATTGGCTTCAAGGGAAGAGAGTCTTTTTCAGAGCTTGCATTCTGGAGGTTGCTGGTGCCAGGCGTCATCCAGAGCTGTGCTGAAATACTCATTCAGAGCTCAAACCCAGGAGATTCAAGATCCACCGCCGCCGAGCTCAGAGCTTTGGACACAGCAGCAGTAGAGCCCGGGTTCTTTGTAATGCTCCTTAATCAACTCAAACCCATTCAAGACCCATGATCTTATTTTAGGGATAGATCTTAGAAGCCAAAATGAAAACGTATTGATGTTTTATTTCCCTGGTGTTATTATGAACATTTAATCAGTGCATGAGGGAAAATATTTGTCTTTATAATCAGAATCAAGTATTCAATAGAGCTGTGTAGTTAATGTAGTGATTGCAGACATGCAGTTTTATAAACATATTTTATATACAATTTTTTTTCCAAAATATATATATAAATTTTTTTAAATAGTCTCTTCTGCTCACCAAGGCTGCATATATTTGATCAAAAATACAGTAAAAAATGTTAAATATTATTACAATTTAAAATAGCTATTCAAATAGTATTTGAATATACTATGTTCAAATGTAATTTATTTCTGTGATTAAAGCTGAATTTTCAGCATCATTACTCCAGTCTTCAGTGTCACATGATCTTCAGAAATCAGTATAATATGCTGATTTGCTGCTCGAGAAACATTTATGATTATTATCAGTGTTCAAAACAGTTGTGCTGCTTCATATTTTTGAAGAAAAAGTTATTTTTCCAGGAGTCTTTGATGAATAGAAAGTTCAAAAGAACAGCATTTATTTGAAATGTAAATATTTGTATTATAAATGTCTTTACTGTCTTCACTTTTGATCAAGTTAATGCATCCTTGCTGAATAAGTGTTAATTTCTTTAAAAAAAAAAAAAAAAAATATATATATATATATATCAAATATATATTTAAATGCATATTTATTTTTATTTATAATGTATATGCATAACAATACATTGTTTTATATAAATTAGTTTGAATAATTCTTATTTGGTTGTCATTGCTTAAAAATATTGATGTATTTACTTAGCTTATCACAAACATGTGTTTAAAAAGTCAAGTTTTAAGAAGAATACTGTTTAACACACTTGCAGAACAAAACAACTCATTTGAATGTGCAGTGGTTAATGGTGACGAGAAAACAATGATTATGTGTTTATTAATTATTTTTATTACTTGATTAATGCATGGAGGTAACAGTTCATTTCTTTGATGTCGTCTGTCTGTTCATGAATTTCTGTATTTATTTGATGAAAGTAATTCTGCAGGTCTGCCCGCCTTAAAGCACAGCTAATTATGACAGTGTGTTGCTTTCAGCAGAAATAAATAGAGCTTGTGGAACATGATTCAATTCTTTGTTGTTTTTCCTTGTCATTCATGACATGCTCATATTTCTTCCTGTAATGTTTCCAGTCCTCAACTGCATTTATCCATGCTTCAAAGCACCAGAGGTATCGTCGTCTAATGTGTTATTAAAGCCCGTATTCTTCTGATTCATCTTCATTTTTGCTTGTTGTTGATCAGCGAACATCTGTGCTTTTGATGGCTTTGGACATTTTTGCATCCTGTTATCATCTTTTTGTTTGAATGCCAGTATCTGCACACTAAACGTATTGTTAGAAGCACATTTAATGGGTGAGCTGATCTCTCACATCTTAACCTGTTTGTTTTGTGTTTGCAGATGATGAAGTTTGCCTGGGACAACTATAAACTTTACGCTTGGGGAAAGAATGAACTTCGACCTCTGACTAGGAATGGAAACACTGGGAATATGTTTGGTGAGTGAGGTTATCATTTTACATCAAATTTTATTGTTCAAGTTTTATTGTTTTCTTCAGCTTGCATTAGGTCAGAATTCAGAATGAACTGGCACAGGATGTTGAATTAAAATTGGAATTGGAATGACAGGAAGAGGAATTTATCCACAACAATTCATTATAATTTCATTAGCCCAAGACAAGTTTTTGTGACGATGCAACCATGCCGATTTATTGTTATTGTATGCAAATTTGTATGCATATGTAAAGATTTGTATTTAGTCTTTTTGTTTATGATGTCTATGCATAATAAATGGGTTTTAATAAATTAGTTGAAATATTAGTTAATATTTCTAATATGGTTGTAATAAATTACTTAAAATGTATTTTAATTATTTGTTTTGTTTTGATTAAATATGTTTTTAATCATCTTAAAATGAAATGTATAAAATATAATGAAATAGAAAATGTATATTTCATTTATATATTTTATTATATTTTATACATTTCATTTTGATTAAAGACAAGTTTTTGTGACAATACAACTATGCCAATTTATTGTTATGTCTATGCATCGCAATCAGTTTTAATAAATTAGTTAATATTTCTAATTTGGTTTAAATAAATTAAAATTAAGGATGTCATTGTTTGTTTTGTCACAAAACCAAAAACCACCTTAAAATAAAAATTATACATTATAATGAAACAGAATTTATATTGAATTGATATATTTCATTCAATTTAATACATTTCACTTTAAGATATTAAAGACAAGTTTTTGTGACAATACAACTATGCCAATTTTTTGTTATTGTATGTCATTTTATATGCATATTTTATATATATATATATATATATATACGCATAATGATACATTGGTTTTAATACATTATTTATAATTAATAAATTGAGTGACTCTAATTTGGTTCTATTTGATGTCATTTGTTTTATCAAGTTTTTAAGAAACTTGTCTTTAGTTGTTTTCAAAATAGATATAGTTAAAAAAAAATATATATATACATTTTCTTTGTATGTCATATCAAGCATTTATTATTAATATCATCTTATGTTTCTGGAAATAGATTTTTGGGGGGTCATTTGCAGTGAAAAAGGGAATGCATTATATGATTTTCATTCCATTTTAATTCTGCTTTCTAAAATTCTAATTATAATTCTGCCTCCTGTTTGCAACCTCAGTTATAATTTCAAAGACATTCTGAATTCACTGTGATCTCAGACCTCCTGATCTTATAGAACAAGTGACTGTTTCTGTGGTTCCACCTGATTTACCCTGTTCTCACAGTTCTGGTGGAACATGAAACCACTCTATTACTCTCTTCATAAAAAAATCAGTCTGCTTTCGATGCAGAATCCTCTCTAGTCAGAGACCTGCAGCTTTAGACCGGCTCCGGTACTGTAATCATGTGGCCTGTACTGTAGAAATATCAGCACACTTGACATTTGGAATGTTACTTTGCAATAAGAAGTGAGAAACATGGATTTCAACCGGTTATAGACAATATGAAAGGTCAGTGTGGGAATGAGGTCAGTACCGTCCACTCATCTGACATCAAATTGAGCGAATGTTTTTCTTATGTGCTCTGTAGGACAGTATTTTGACCAAGAACCGACCTTAGAGAGAAGGAGAATGTCTGACTGACATTTAAATTGACCAATCATAGTTGTTTTACAGTAGTTTTAGTGACGGGATTATCTGGAATAGCATAGCAATAGCAATCTGCTGGTAATCACCATAGACTGTATAAAAACATGGATGTAGTGTCCGTGACGTCACCCGTAGGTTTCCGAAGAGCGTTTTTGAAGCTCAAAGTGGGCGGAAGCAGCCGTCGCCATATTGGCAGCGCGTCACTCCCGGATAATCGAAAATGGGCAAAGAGACGGGAACTGCTTGCTGAAGCCACACCCACCTAGCTCGACGGTGGTGACAGCAGCGGCAATCCACCTGTCACTCAAGTGGCCACACCCTTAATTATGCAGAACTTTAAGGCTTAATATAATTTAAACGGACGAGTTATAAAAAAATTCACCCCCCTCACAGTCATGAAGGGGAAAATTAGGCAAGGCAAGTTTATTTATATAGCACATTTCATACACAATGGTAATTCAAAGTGCTTTAAATAAAAGAAAAGAAAAGAAATCACAACAATACAACAAGGAATTTAAAAACTTTGAAAATGATTAAAAAATTTAAGAGGTTTAAAATTAATTTAAAACAGTTAAGAGTAGAAAAGGATTATACATACAATATAGTGCAATCAGTTCGGACATTGCACAGTGCTCATTCAATAAATTAACAGCTTAACAGATGAGTTTTGAGTCTGCATTTAAATGTGACTAATGTTTTAGCACATCTGATCTTTTCTGGAAGCTGGTTCCAACTGGGGGTGGCATAATAACTAAAAGCGCACTCCCCTTGTTTTGTGTGAACCCTTGGTATTTCTAACTGACTCGATCCTGATGATCTGAGTGGTCTGTTAGGTGAACATATCTGCTATGTATTTAGGTCCTAGGCCATTGAGTGATTTATAAACAAGTAAAAGTACTTTAAAATCAATCCTAAATATAACTGGAAGCCAGTGTAAGGACCTGAGGACTGGTGTGATATGCTCAGATTTATAATTCTGCCTCCTGTTTGCAACCTCAGTTATAATTTCAAAGACATTCTGAATTCACTGTGATCTCAGACCTCCTGATCTTATAGAACAAGTGACTGTTTCTGTGGTTCCACCTGATTTACCCTGTTCTCACAGTTCTGGTGGAACATGAAACCACTCTATTACTCTCTTCATAAAAAAATCAGTCTGCTTTCGATGCAGAATCCTCTCTAGTCAGAGACCTGCAGCTTTAGACCGGCTCCGGTACTGTAATCATGTGGCCTGTACTGTAGAAATATCAGCACACTTGACATTTGGAATGTTACTTTGCAATAAGAAGTGAGAAACATGGATTTCAACCGGTTATAGACAATATGAAAGGTCAGTGTGGGAATGAGGTCAGTACCGTCCACTCATCTGACATCAAATTGAGCGAATGTTTTTCTTATGTGCTCTGTAGGACAGTATTTTGACCAAGAACCGACCTTAGAGAGAAGGAGAATGTCTGACTGACATTTAAATTGACCAATCATAGTTGTTTTACAGTAGTTTTAGTGACGGGATTATCTGGAATAGCATAGCAATAGCAATCTGCTGGTAATCACCATAGACTGTATAAAAACATGGATGTAGTGTCCGTGACGTCACCCGTAGGTTTCCGAAGAGCGTTTTTGAAGCTCAAAGTGGGCGGAAGCAGCCGTCGCCATATTGGCAGCGCGTCACTCCCGGATAATCGAAAATGGGCAAAGAGACGGGAACTGCTTGCTGAAGCCACACCCACCTAGCTCGACGGTGGTGACAGCAGCGGCAATCCACCTGTCACTCAAGTGGCCACACCCTTAATTATGCAGAACTTTAAGGCTTAATATAATTTAAACGGACGAGTTATAAAAAAATTCACCCCCCTCACAGTCATGAAGGGGAAAATTAGGCAAGGCAAGTTTATTTATATAGCACATTTCATACACAATGGTAATTCAAAGTGCTTTAAATAAAAGAAAAGAAAAGAAATCACAACAATACAACAAGGAATTTAAAAACTTTGAAAATGATTAAAAAATTTAAGAGGTTTAAAATTAATTTAAAACAGTTAAGAGTAGAAAAGGATTATACATACAATATAGTGCAATCAGTTCGGACATTGCACAGTGCTCATTCAATAAATTAACAGCTTAACAGATGAGTTTTGAGTCTGCATTTAAATGTGACTAATGTTTTAGCACATCTGATCTTTTCTGGAAGCTGGTTCCAACTGGGGGTGGCATAATAACTAAAAGCGCACTCCCCTTGTTTTGTGTGAACCCTTGAACTTCATCTTTGTTTCCAAATGCAATGACTTCATGAAATGAAATTAACAGTTGGATGTGCCAGAACTTTCTTCAGTTTTCCTTGTTTAACTGAAGAAAGTTCTGGCACATCCAACTGTTAATTTCATCAGTGCATTGGCAGAGGGAGTCAATAGGGCTGTAGTCATTTGGAGATAAGGCTAGGTAAATCTGGGTATCATCTGCATAGCTGTGATAGGCAATTTGGTTCTTTCTCATTATTTGACTTAGTGGGAGCATATACAGGCTAAACAAGAGCGGTGCAAGAATTGAGCCTTGTGGGACTCCGCATGTCATGGACGTCCACTTAGACTTATGCTCTCCTATACTCACATAATAACCTCTCCCTTCTAAGTATGACCTGAACCATTTAATTACCATGCCAGAAAGCCCAACCAAGTTTTCCAGTCTCTCTAGTAGTATGTTATGATCGACAGTATCAAACGCAGCACTGAGATCTAGTAGTACCAGCACTGATATTTTGCCAGATTCAGAATTTAAGCGAATATCATTTATTATCTTAATGAGTGCGGTCTCTGTGCTGTGATGCGGTCGAAAACCAGATTGAAAATTGTCCAGGTATCCATTTGAGTTTAAGTATTTGTTCAGCTGATTAAAGACTACCTTTTCAATAATCTTTCCTATAAAAGGAAGATTTGATATTGGTCTATAGTTGCTCAATATGGTGTTATCAAGATTGCTCTTTTTCAGAAGGGGCTTAACAACTGAAGTTTTCAGGGAGTTTGGAAAAGTCCCAGAAAGATGTGAGGCATTCATCACTTCTAAGAGACCTGCTTCTAAACAGTTAAGCACCCTTTTGAAAAAAATATGTGGGAAGTGTGTCAAGATAGCAGGTTGACGATTTAAGGTGCTGTACTATTTCTTCTAAAATGTTGCTATCAATTTCTTCAAAAGTAGTATCTTCTTTTTGATATTGCGGTCGATATAATCTGTCTGACCTCTGCATAACTTGGGGATGTGCTAATCGCCTTCCTGATATTATTGATCTTCTCAGAAAAGAAGGAAGCAAACTCATTGCATTTGCTGTCGGAGAGCATTTCACTGGCAATCTGACTTGGGG